AGTCTAGTGTACTCATGTTATCCGACATCAACTGACAATAGTCTAGTGTACTCATGTTATCCGACATCAACTGACAATAGTCTAGTGTACTCATGTTATCCGACATCAACTGACAATAGTCTAGTGTACTCATGTTATCCGACATCAACTGACAATAGTCTAGTGTACTCATGTTATCCGACATCAACTGACAATAGTCTAGTGTACTCATGTTATCCGACATCAACTGACAATAGTCTAGTGTACTCATGTTATCCGACATCAACTGACAATAGTCTAGTGTACTCATGTTATCCGACATCAACTGACAATAGTCTAGTGTACTCATGTTATCCGACATCAACTGACAATAGTCTAGTGTACTCATGTTATCCGACATCAACTGACAATAGTCTAGTGTACTCATGTTATCCGACATCAACTGACAATAGTCTAGTGTACTCATGTTATCCCGACATCAACTGACAATAGTCTAGTGTACTCATGTTATCCCGACATCAACTGACAATAGTCTAGTGTACTCATGTTATCCGACATCAACTGACAATAGTCTAGTGTACTCATGTTATCCGACATCAAGTGACAATAGTCTAGTGTACTCATGTTATCCGACATCAACTGACAATAGTCTAGTGTACTCATGTTATCCGACATCAACTGACAATAGTCTAGTGTACTCATGTTATCCGACATCAACTGACAATAGTCTAGTGTACTCATGTTATCCGACATCAACTGGGACAATATAAATATCTTGGATTGTGAACAGCAAGAGAGGTAAGTGACTATTGAATTCATTTCCGGAACTTTTAGGAAAACGGTGACGCTTTTCGCACTTCTTACGCGGAAAAAAAAAAAAAAAGAATCTGCAACCCATTTCCAGAAATTTAGGGGAGTCTTATCGAAAAGTTAATAAAACCAGTTAGTTCTACTGCTCTACATTGACATCTTGAATAACAAACAATAAAAAATCTTCATCACAATGACAAAATATAAATAATTTCAATATTTTTTTTACCTTTTTTGTCTGCGTATAATTTCACTCTGTCTTCATCAGAG